AAAGTGCTTATGATACGCAGTTCATGAGAAAGAATATCGGTTTGCATACGGGTGCCTTCTTGGATAATAGCTTTAAATACTGGCATGCATGAAGCGGCTTAAGTGTGAGCACATATGAGAGGGGCTTTAGTGCGAAAAAAAAAGAAATGGTTTACAGAGTGTCTTCTTGCTTCACGACTTCAATACTTGTGAGAGAGGAGTAGCGCTCAAGTGGGAGAGAGAACTGAGGGTTCTAGGAAGTGTCTTTTGGGTCGCGACTTGAGTGTCGTGCACATGAAAATGAGTGATAAAGGTCAAGAGTGTGTCTCTTGGGGTGACGGTTTCAGTGCTCTGAACACAAACCATAGCATTCTTAATAAAGAGAAATAATTAGTGATAAATATTTTTGTCTCCTTAAATACAAGAACAAAGAATTTATTATTGGTGACGAAATATTTTTGTCTTCCACATATAACTTATGCAGACGAAAAATATATTCATCGCGCAATCAGTCAGAATTTATTAGTTGACGAAATATTTTCATCTCCAACAACTTATTTCTTCCAAAGACAAACATATATTTGTCGCCCATTTAAATAGAAAGATGAAACATCATTTTGCATGATGGAGTGTTTATTGGTGATGAAATATTTTCGTCTTCCATACACTTATCATTCCTAGACAAAAATATATTTGTCGCCTAATAAATGGAAATATGCAATGACATTGGTTAATAGTAGTAGAAGAATTTATTGGTGACGAATTCGTTCGTCGGCAAAAAATATATATATTTTGTGACAAAAATGTTCGTCTCCAATGAGCTAAAATAATTTGCGCCAAATGCAAAAAATTGGCGCCTGAATTTTGCAGACCGAAATTTTTTGTCTCCTATATGTTTGAGAAAAATTAAAACAAACGACAAAATTAATATTTTGTCATCTTTGGGTTAATTTTAAGTCACCAAATTTTGTCAGGCAATAGCCTAGATTTCTTGTATTTCTGTTTCTTGTTTAATTATTATTATTATTTTTTCATTTTTGTCGAGAGGGGGTTTACTGTGGAAAAATAGTAGCTTTGCACAAATGTCTTCTTGGATAACAATGTTGCATGCACAAACGGCTTTAAATGTGAGAGAGAATAGAGAACTTCAGTGCGAATAGAAGAGATGGTTTATAGAGATTGTTTTCTCGAGTCACAGCTTCAACTCTTGTGAGAGAGGAGACTCAAGTGCGAGAGAGAAATGAGGATTTGTAGAGGGTGTTTTTGCGGTCACGACTTTAGTATTTGTGTGTGTGTGAAAGTAAGTGATTAAGGTAAGAGCGTCTCTTAGTTTCTGATGACATTTTTAATAAAGAGAATAATTAGTGAGAAAATTTTTCATCTCAAACTCATATGTTCGTTGCCTAATCAACAAAAATAGTCAAAAACAATGTTGTGGAGATGGAGAATTTATTGGTAATGAAATATTTTCATCTCCTTCACTTAACCTTATGAGACGAAAATATATTTGTCGCACAATCAATCAAAATGCAACCACGACACATGGAGAATTTATTAGTAACGAAATATTTTCGTCGTCCCAAAACATATCGCTTCCGAAGACAAAAATATATTTGTCGCCTAATTAACAGAAAAGATAAAATGAGCATGAAGGGTTTATTGGTGATGAAATTTTTCGTCTTCCATAACTTATCCTTCCCAACAAAAAATAATTTGTCACCAAATATAAAAAATGAACGACATCGTCTAATAAGTTTGGAATTTATTGGTGACGAATTCCTTTGTCGCAAAAAACTTTAAATTTTGTGACAAAAATGTTTCGTCTCCAATGAGCTAAATAATTGGGCGCCAACAAGAAAAAAAAATTGTCCTCTTTTTTTCTGACAAACTTTATTTTGTCCGTCTCCTATACGTTTTGAAGAAACAATTAAAAAAAAACACAAAAGTAATATTTGGTCATGTTTGGGTTACATCTAAAAGAAAATAACTTTATCAACCAAATTTTAAAACATTAATTATTGAAAACTCCTATCTAACGGTATAGTTCTAATTTGCATAAGGGATAGGCATTTTAATGATTTGATCTAGATGTAGGGCTTTATTCGTCAAATAGAAGAAAGAAGAGGTTATAGTCATTTAGTAGCTCAGCAAAAATGAGGTTTAGAGTTTGTTTTGGTCACGACTTCAAGGTCCTTGACATAAAATGAGTGATAAGCTATCAAAGTGTATCTCTTGGGGTCACAGTTCCATGCTTTGAAACACAAAACCACGACATTTTAATAAAAAGAAAATGATTAGTGATAAATTTTTGATCCTTCAATACAGAACAAAGAATTTATTATTGGTGATGAAATATTTTTGTTCTTCCACACTTAACCTTATAAGACGAAACAATATATTCTCACACAAATCAATAGATTTATTATTGAAGAAATATTTCGTCTCCCACCATTATTCATACTGAAACAAAAAATATATTTGCACCTAATTTAATAAGAAAGATTGAAATGACATTGTCTTGCATGCATGGATGTTTATTGGTGACAGAAATATTTTCGTCTTCATAACTTATCCGTCGCAGACAAAAATATATTTGTCACCTAATAAATGGAAAGTATGGCAAACGTGACATCGTTTATAGTATGGATCTTTATTGGCGATGGAGATTACGTGTCGTCACAAAAAAAATTATATTTTGTGACAAAAATGTTTGTCTCGCAAAGTATAAATATTCGCGCCAATGCAAATGAAATTGGGCGCCGTCATTTTTGCACACGGAAATTTTGGTTTTCGATCTTCCGTTATACTTTTGAGAAAAATTTAAAACAAAACGAAAATTAATATTCGTTCATCTTTGGTTAAATTATAAGACAAAAAAAATTTTGTCAATTTTAAACTTCTCTCATACACTATGCTAGTGATAAGATTGTTAAATTATTTTTAAAAAATCTTAAAAACATAATAATTATATATTAAAAAAATCTAATACAAATATAATATTTATAATTATTCCGTGTTAAGCAAAAGGGGTTTTAACCCCCAAGGTCTCGTTGGGAGTTTCAAATTCCAATCTGAATTTCTAAATTTTTATTTTTATTTCAAAAAAAAACTCAACATTTTTTATTTTTTTATTTAACCACCGCTCGCTACCACCCACTACCCGCCACCTACCCGCTACCACCACCCGCCATCCGCCAACCACCTGCCACCCGCCACCACCACCCACTCGCTACCACTCACCACCCACCACCGTCACTCACCCACCCACCCACCCACCACCACCACCACCAGCTACCCACCACCCACCATCACCACTTTTCACTACCGTCTTCCGCCGCCACTTGCCTTTTAAACATTTTGTCAATTACCAAACATTTTGCCACTCCACCTCTACGACTATCATTACTACCACCATCACCACCACTCCACTACCACCATTACTACTACCATTACATCTCATCCACCACCGCTACTTTATCTCCTCTACCACTACCACAACTTCACCACTAATCTCATTTGCTATCACCAGCACCAGCACCACCACTATCACCTCTTATTCAGCACCTTCACCACTACTGCCGCTTCCCATCCTCTACCACAAAAAATTAGTTCCTGATTTTTAGTAACAAAAAAAAATATGGGTCGCAGAAAAATATTTTCATTGATGACAAAAAATTAACTTTCTCGCTCATCTCTCTTCTTTCTATCTTTCTCTCTGTCTCTCTCGTTCATCTCTTTTCTCTTTATGTCCCTCTCGTTCATCTCTCTTCTCTTTATCTCTCTCTGTCTCCCTCATCCATCTCTCTTCTCTCTCTGTCTCTTTTCTGTCTCTCACTCTCTATCTCTTTCTCTTTCTCTCTCTCTCTCTCTCTCTCTCTCCCACTATGTTTACGTTGCTCACTCTCTCCCTCCCGTCTTCTCTATTTACTGAGCTCCCTCTCGATTTATCGGTCCACTATAAGAAAATGCACTTTTAGCGACCACTTTGTCTCTCTCTCGCTCATCACTCTGCCTCTTTTTTTCTCTCTCTCCTCTATCTGTCTCGCACTCATCTCTCTCTCTCACCACCCACATCTTCTACCACCTTCACCACTACTGCAAACGCCATTCCACCACCACCACTACTTCCACTGTCGCCACTTCACCTCTATGACTACCATGACTACTACCATCGCCACCACTCCACTACCACTACCACTACTACTACTACTACTACTACCTCTTATCTACCGCCACCATTCCATCTCCCATACCACTACCACAACTTCATCACTAATCTCCTTCGCCACCACCACCACCACCTCTTATCCACCACCTTCACCACTACTGCCGCTCCCTCTCCTGTACTACAAAAAATTTGTTTGATTATGGTTTTTTAATAGAGTGTTGAATTGAGTTTTGAATTGTATGTGGAATTGAGTTTTGAAAGTTTGATGTGACATGTGAAATAAGAAAATTTGTGTGATGATGAGTTTTTAAAATAGTTTTCAAAACTTAATTCAACCTATAATTGATAATCAAACACACAACTCATAACTCGATATCCGTATTTTTGATCAACAGTCATAACCAAACTATTTTTAAAATACTCAAATAAAAAAATATTTTTTTTTTCAATTAATTGTTTTTAAGTAATTTTTTTAAAATATTTTTTTTTCAAATCATTTTTTTTTCAAACAACTTCTATGTCAATTATTTTCTGTCAATTAATTTTTTTGTCATTTAATTTTTTAAGCCTGTATAAATATTAAAAATATTTCAAAAAATTAAAATATTAAAAATATTTCAAAAATTAAATATTAAGAATATTTCAAAAATCAAAATATTAAAAATATTCAGAAAATCTAAGCCAAACAAATCCTTAATTTCCCCCAATTTTTTCCCCGTCTTTCCCTCTTTTTTTTTTCTTTTCATTTCCTTTCAGGTTTGTAGAGCCCTAAGTTTCGAAGCCCTAAGTTTCGAAACAACACTGTCTCTCTCTCTCTCTCTCTCTCTCTCTCTCACTCACGGAGGCGGGAGGCGGGAGGCGATCTCACTACTTTTCTGTTCTTGGGTTTGATCTTTAATCCTTTTTCATTGTTCTGTAGCTGATCTCACTACTTCACTGTTCTTGAGTTTGATCTAATATCTGGTGTTGTTAAATTAAAGGTTATTAACTCCTCCTGACACCCCTCTCTTCCCTTCTCTGGATGATGAGACGCCTCTGGTTACACTTGCTCAGAGGGGAAGACCTCAAAGTCAACCCATCACAATATCAAGATCATCCACGGTAGGTCATTGTTCATGTCAATGGGATGAATATTCATCGTTTATTTACTTGTATCTGTCAATGGTGTCTACTGCTCATGTTTTCCTTTAACATTTTTTATACCATAATGCATCTAATGTGTATCTTATTGTAGATGGAGAAGAATCGCAAAAGTAGTAGAGGTCTCTCTGTGGCGCCGATGGAGATCTCTCTGCAGAGCGCCACCGACAACTGCGGCGCCGATACCTCAGAGCAAAACGGCATCGTCTCAGGGCCGCCGCCACCACCACTCGCCGAAGATAAAGTTCTTGTCTCAGGTCACATACGATTCGATCCCTCAATTTCTGTTTGTTTAATCGAACAATTTCATGGTGTTTTCAAGCTTCAAGTTTCAACTTTTTTTCTTGTTTCAGTCGAAGTTTGCTTAAAACCCTCAAGCACAGCTCGGATCGAAGATGTCCGCTCAGCTGTTGAGATGCACGCTTTTATATATGATTTTTTGTGCTAGTTTTGAATGCTGAGTTCAATCTTTTATATTGGCCATTTTGGTATTCTGTTTTCTAGATGTCAACTCTTTACAATCTAAGATATTTAGGAGCAAACAATGAAATATTAGCAGGACTTTTGAGAGCTTTAAATGGGTCACGGTCCCTTTTCCACCCCTGGTTCTGCCTTGGTACATGTTACTGCTAGAAAAGGAGAGTTGGAGAGACAGAGAGGCCTCCATATATATCAAAATTAGTGAAAGATAAGATGTGTTTGCCTCAAGGCATCAGTAGAGGGGCTATCACTACAACAAAAAAGGTCTATTGTGACAAAAATGCGTGACGAAAAAATATTTCGTCTCCAAATATGCATGTTTT